CTATCTATCTATCTATCTATCTATCTATCTATCCAATGATATGATAGTGAGGACAAGCTGCTGTTGCCTCTCTTCTGCTGGATTACAGTTGTTAATCTCAACCAACTTCAAGCTAGGTGAAAGGAAGCCAATTGTGCATGCATGATCAAAAGAGAAATTAACAAGTCATATAAAATCAAGGCAGATGAGGATGAGTGCTGAAGAAATCAGGAGCACATTTACAAAACAACAGAACTGCAAAAGCCTCAGGAGAGTGATTTTAGAGTCCAAGTTGAAGATCCCCATGAAACCAGCAAAGCAGTTGAATAGCAGCTAGCTGAAGCCCACCAGTAATGAAGCAAAGCCTGTGACTAGTAAAGCACTTGGCAAAGTCAACATGACAAAAACAAAATCTGACACAAAGAAAGCGATAGCTAATAACCTCTATGAAGGTGGCAACAAAAATTCCCACCAAATCCTAGATAAAAAGCCTTTGTGATGTCTAAATAGAACTTTTGATATCAGTTTGGTTTTTTTTTAAATGTAAATTGCCTTTGCACCAAGTTGTGTCATTGTTTACCTCACCATACATGTACACTATAGTCATGTGAATACTTATTTCTATAACAGTACTATAACATGAAATCATATCTGTTACCTGTCATAGAGATGTGTGTGTATTCCTATATGTATAATGTGTGAGAGGAGCTCAAATCAAGTAGTTGCAGTTATCAGTTGATAAGCTGCCAATAAAGCCGTGTTTTGGGCTACAAGTAATGTACTACTACACGTACATGGTTACATATTGACCCTTTAAACCCTAAGAGTGATCAGCATCTAGTTTCTCCTTACAGTAATACAGCTGAGTCATTCATTAAGATCATGAGATTGTAGGAAATGATCACCAACCCAGAGAACTTTGATTGGAAAACAAATTCTCCTTGCCAGTACCAAAAGAAATGTTAAGAGAAGAGTGTAAAGAATATGAATACTGATGTTAGGGTGGAAAGGGTTCAAACACTTTGGGAAAAATATTACAAACACAATTGAATTGGGTTGATTTTTTCATACCATGTACATGTACATTGATGTCAATAGATTAACACTCACCCTTCAAGTTGGCTCTCCTGTGATATGATAACAGCAGTTGTATTAAACTCTCAGGTACTTGTTTTTGCTGAATTGAATCAATAATACCATCCACCAGATAAACCACTACCCTGTAGATTGTGCGGTTTATTGTGTTCACACCAATCTACTGGGTGGTGATTAATCTGGTGGACAGCAATGAAATTCAACCAGCTGTGGGAAAAGTAACTGTTTTGTCTGTGTACTTAGGTGTCACAAAGCCTGCCACTGTTAGATCATGGTNTTTTGCAGCACCCGTCAGGTTTTCTGTGATCTTGTAATAACGTCAACTGTATGTATATGTCATTAATGTGTACCGTGTTGTCTGGGTCCCATGGTGTTATTTTCACTTGACATATGGTTTTGTAAAACGCCCTCAACTGATTCTGGCACCATTCCAATAATTTCATTGCAGACGAGTCTGTGGACAAAAAAGAAATCGGCTTGGTAAAATTTTATATCTCCAGCATTGACAGATTCTGAAGGTCAATGGTAAATCTGGAGTTTTGCAAGAATTTTAAATATTGTTGTATTAATCGTTTTTAAGCCATATTTCAAAAGGAAAAATTTTTTCGTTCAGTTCTCTACAAAACGAAAAAAAGTGGAAGCCAACTCCAGGTGTCTGCCTAATAATGGAAAAATGGCCGCATCGTAGTGGTTTTTGCACCATCAGAATGGAGTCTGTCTTATAGAGGTATCTGGCTACAGGAATTACTATGAATATGAAAGCAATATCCGCAGTAATAAACGCAGTAAAAATGAGGCCCGAAAAAAATTCAGGCTGGTACGAAAAAGCCTGAATTTTTTTTCCAGTATTTTAGGCATTGTTCATCCTTGCGAAGAAGGGCGGGGCATGGCCAACAACTTAGATCTTTCTGTAGAATGTTTTTATTACCAGCTCCACCATAGCCAATATTGTCAACATTTCATCAGTGTCACTGATGTGTTTCGCCCAAAGATCCAGATGGTAGTCCTTGCGACTGAAAATTGTCAATTCAGGGTCAATTCTGTATTCAGAAATCATTTAGGAGGCTGTTATCCGCAGCAAGAGCTGTTTAGACTCTTTGGGAGAACTTACAATCTCCTTAAAAACATGCAAGACGTTAAGAACACATTCGTTCATAGCTAATTAAGGAAGCTTTCTTGAGCCTGAGCTGAAAGAATTTGACACCCTGACGCGTGATTAATATGAAGCAAGTGTAGAGGGCTTATGTTCGAAATGCGGACGGTAAGAAGTTACATAGAGATAAATATTAGAATTTCATTAAAGCTTGACTGTCAGTCTTAGGGAAGGAGAAGATAAATAACAAAGAATGAAGAAAACGTTATTTAAAAAAACTATACCTTCAGCAGGTAACATCTCAAAATCCTCTCCTCTCTCAATGGAGCCTTGGTTATTCTCCAGAGTGTCTTTAAAAGAAAGACACAAACAAAAATCTTTTAAGAGAACATTCCAAGTAAAATTGAAAAATTCTCTGAGTTTCATAAGCAGCAAGAACTATCTTTGAGCTTTGAGAGTTAAGAATCGCTAGAAAAACATGCAAAACTCCTGCTAAGGAGACAATGAATTATTAGCAATCTTTTCTTTAATTTAAATAACCAAGCTTTAATTTCTTGAGACTGAGCTGAACGAAGCGCATGTAGACATTGTGAGTGAAAGAAAAATCCATGTGAACTGCATGGACCAAGAGTAGACTGCTTCTCAGTGCTCGAAACACTGACAGAATGGAGTTACAAAGAGACAAACATTTTAAAGAACTCTTATACAGCTGACCTGTCAGTCCTGGGGAAAGGATAGCTTAAATATCAAGGATTAAAGAAATTGTTATTTGAAGAAAAACATACCTTCAGCAGGTAACCAGATATCATCTCCTGCTGAGCCTCTGGTGGAACCTTCATTCCTCGCTGGGGTGTCTTAAAAAGAAAAAAAAGGAAAAAAAAATTAACTCCTTATTTCTACCATGATTAAACCATACAACAGCTTTCTTTTCGTTTGCAGAAATTCATCCTTAAATTTTTCCATTTGTTTTTGTTAGACTAATTGTTAGATTTATTTAACCAGGATATCTTGTAAATCACAAAATGCTTTAGTATTGTCACCTTCCGGATCTCCAAGCAACTGCTCCAGAAAATTTTTCCTTGTGCACAACAGGTGAGTAATTGCAATCACACAAAGGATAATAGAAATTGTCATGATTGCAATAATGCCAATGTTCAGCTTAGATTTTTGCCTACGATACATATCATGGCAGGTTATATTCTTCAGTTGGTTTTTTGGGATCTTTGTGCTGTTTCTCCGAGAACATGTGTACACTTTTGGAAAACCAATAGGCTGGAAGTGGCTGAATAGCCCCATTATAACACTGAGAACAACAAGTTGAATGAACACATGGACAAGAAATATCCATGTGAACCTTTTTCCCAGACTTTCCTTCCTTTCACTGTTTTGCTCCTTCTTGATTTGCTTCCAGGCCCAGACACTATACAGAATGAACGTCAACCAGAAAAAGCCAAGGATCGCACAGGTTATGTAAGCAAAATTCAGGGGCACCAACAGTGGGCTGACTGTGGAGGTGTAATCCTCATAGCACTGTTGTTTAACCACTTCACTGGGCTTAGGGTCACAATTGAAAGTTAATCTATCCTTATCAAGATACTTCTCCAGCAAAACAATTATTGTTGGCCAGGAGATCAGGAACAAAATGAAATGTATGGCACCACAAACTGTTTGTGACTTGAGGGCAAGCTGAGAAATATTATCCATTACAAAGAATTTTGTAGCTTTTAAGGGACATCTGAATACAAGATGAAAAATAAACCAATGAGTGGGTAAGAGAAAAAACACATTAGACAATGTCAACATGAAAGAGAATTACAGTACAACGCCATGCACACACATGTACAAGGTCTTCACGTCAAGCATGTAAATGTGCTGTATATTCATGGGAATTGTAGTATTTCTCTTCTCTAAATCCTTAAAGTCAAAGATATAAATGGATCTTAATATTTTAATACCAATTTCCACATGTATAGAAACAAACCTATTGAGAGCCACTTCAAACAATATATAGATTTTTAAAATAAAACTTACACTTGTTTGTAATTTTAATTAACAGCCAATACTGTAAATGAAATTTTCCAACAGTAATACACAAACTGTCCTCATAAAATTGCAGCCCCCTCCATAATCTTACCATGGCTTAAGAATCACTAGGTGACATATTTGAATATATCAACAAAGTTGAAATGGTAAATTGGCCACTGTTATGATTATAAAACCTGACGTTTAGAGCGTTAGCCCTTCGTCGGAGCAGTGGCCAATTTACCATTTAAACTTTGTTGATATATTCAAATTATTTCGTTACCCCCACTGACGCAGCCCCAAACAGTTTCTTTATAAACTATCAGCCGACATATTAAAGGGCCTACTCGGTTAAAAAGCCCTGTCCGGTAACAACTGTTGTCAACTATGTCAAAATCTGCCATTCTTTGGATATCAGACATGTTGTTGTTGTTGTTGTTTTCTCAGGGACCAAGCAAATCTTGCACAAAGTCAAAACTATTTAAAAATTCAAAGCCAGGAAATAAACATTTTAGACTAATTTTAAAGGCTGCCCATCTTACCGGTTTAACTTTCTTTTTCTGTCTCTCCCTAATTGAACCTCTCTGACTTGGGTATCCTTGTGCTCAACACACACAGAGGTAATGATCTGTGAAAAGCAACCCAACTTTGAGACTACATAAAAAACAGCAACTTACAACAGTCTTTTCAAATAATGATACATGTACAAAATAATTAAAAATGGCAAAATGCTACTTTGAAGATGTTAGTAATATTATACTAAATTAAATTTACTTCTAAGTTAATAGCTAGGAATGAACATGTCTGGTTAATTTTG